TGGAGGAACAAAGGAAGTCCAACGTGAAGTCCCATGGGTAGGGTTTATCACAGCTATACCTTTTCTCTGGGTTAAGTTCTCAATGAACAATTAACTTTGTCATCAATAAAACATCATACAATGAGCAGAATACTGAGGCATGTTCTAGTAGTTTAGAGAAGGCATTTTGTCACATGGATATCCAAGTTTGCAACTAATCTAGGTTATTTCTCATACCTGAACTTATGTAGAACTTCATACTATAAGCAATGCCCTTCTCTCCTGTGCAGGGAGCAGAGATGTTTCTCTATCTTTATCAGGAGTAAATTAGCCATGATTCAGAGGTGTTGAGACCATAGGGGCAAGAACATATGAGCAGATTCCAGATACAATTCTAACATTATATACGTATTTATTTGGTACACCCCACTCTGGTTAGTAATAGCAGAGATTTCTCACAGAAGAGTGAATAAATAGTGAAACTATTTTTTTTTTTTTTGAAATTGCTGGTGATTCAACATACTGTTTTTCACTAAAGTTACAATGGATTTTCACTACTGTGAGTGGGATTTTCATGAAGAGGTAACTGAGTTGCTTTTGCATTGTTTATAAGTATTTTTCTTTGAAAAAATCAAGAAAACATGAAAACTCAAGTGTGATGTACTAATATCATGTATCCAGACTATTTAATCAGCTGAGCTATTACTCATAATGGCAGTTAATGCCATTTAAGAGCACAAAGAACATCTCATTTGAATGCTTTTAAACTACAGGTTTGAATGTCAGCATTAGAGTGGCTCCCACCAGAGGGCTATCATTATACAATTACCATGAGATGTGAGCAGAAACAGTAAGAAATGCCGACAGTCTTCTAACCCAACTGAGTCTTAATTTCTATTTAGGTCATGAAAAGAACTTTAGCTGGAGCTGATTGGACATCACCTTATCTTGACAAATTCAGTATACAATCATTCTCATATACTGAAATTACATTAAAAGAAAAAGAAATTTGTGGTTTGGTGATTCTTCAACTATCTTTCCAAATTTGATTTAAGTGGAACGTGAAGGCCAAGATATTTAAATGTTTTGAAACAATTCAAGGAATGCAATATTCTGATATGAAATTCAGAAACGACATTTTAAAATTACATTATTTTGTAGCCTTTTAATGATTATGTTGTAAGCAGGTTTGGATGTTTTGATACTTTGAAATCACTGTCGGCATATAGTCTGGACACTGGTGCGGGTTTTCTTGCCTTTGAGCTCCTCCAGGAGGATCTATACTGCTTAATGAAGCAAGCAACTTAGGAAGCACTTAAAACCTCGAGTGTATTTTATCATTCCCAAAATATGCTTTTCTCTGCCTGTATACTGTATACAGATTACCCAGATTACTTGGGCTGTTTGCCTAAGCCACCATGTGGTGTGATAGAGCCCCTTTTCTTTGAGTTTTGCACAACCAAGTGGGTAATTTTGCACAACCAAGTGGTGTAATTGGAAAAGTGATTTATTTCATGCTGGTAAACTATAAAGATTATGTGCTAGTGTTTATGAACACTTCAAGGATTTAGCCACTATTATGATAGTGCTGAGTAGTCCTTAAGCAAGATCTATGGAGATATTGACATTTCTTCAGCCATTTCAGGCGTATGTATAAATTTGTGGGTGCAAAATGGACCAGACAACCAGAAGATATATTTAAGATCATTTAGTAAGCTGGGTTCTCTTCAAAATAATACACATGAGGCTTAAGTGCAAGTAACATCGAGGAGTGGCAAACCACCCTGGGAAGCTGTAACACTGAGTGGTTTCCTAAGCCATTCTGTTCCAGAAACCTGTCGTGAGTTTCCAACAAGATGCTCTAGTAGGGGAGCCAATATAATCCTGGGATACGTATATTTCTGTATTTAGAGCAGTCAGTGTATTTAGGTCAACGGAAATGACCATGGATTGTTGCAGGTAATTTGAATACATGTATATCAGGATTAAAAATCACAGATGGGATATGGAAGGGTCACAAAATTACATGAAAAATAGAATATAATGCCATATAGTGAAAAAAATAGAAAGAACAATGTATTCAGTGTATCAATATATCTAAAACAATACTTGCAGGTAATTTGTTTCTAAAATACATAATTTACACCTCTGGAAAAAAAATCCTAGGTATAAATGTGTTTTTTAGAAAGATATAGAAAGTAGAAAGATATAACAAGAATCAGTAAGTAAAAGCTAGATTAAAAAAACAAACAAACAAACAAAAACAAACAAAAAACCCCCACAAAGCATAAATGTTAGTAATAACAGCTAGCACTGGGAAATTATATGCTGAAATCTTCTCCTTTGGGTGTTAGATTCCTATTTTGAAAATTGTATTTTAGCTACTACAAATAAATGCTTTCAGTACAGGGATAATTAGGTGAAATATAAGAGATAATTAAACAAAATATAAGGTCTAATGTCACAGAGGATGTCAGGCTAGATGAACTAATATTTTCTTGGGCTTAGCATTATTAATTTGTTCTGTCATTAACCTGGAAAAACAATAATTTTATTTACATTAATATTTCTTATTCCACATTTGTGCAATGAAAAGCTGCAACTGTCTGAATAAACCTCCTGCTGTGCTGTCACATGCATATGGAAAGGTATCAAGCTAGGCTGTTTTTCACCACCTCATCTCAGGGTACTTTAAATGCAGTTATATTTTAACTTCTGACTCATCCTTTTTAAATTCTTTAAAAAACACACCAGAGAAGTGTAATAAACCCATTGTCCTATCAGAAGCAGTACCAAAACGCCATGGCAGGATTTCCTCACTGATCACAGTTAGGATGTTAACAGGTTAAATACTTACCATAAATCATCAAAGATTCTCTGAAATTAATGGGTCACTGTTAATGGGTCATACAGGCTGGGGAATTCATTTCCAAGAAAATATATTTAAAATACAAATGCAGTTTTTGACTGTACATGCCAAACACTGTTTCAAAAACAGATCTGTAATAGTCACAGACTTTTTTTTTATAAAACAAAGCTGGCTATTTTAGCTCATCTGTGTATCCTTAAGCATTAGAACTCTCACACATAAAGCCTACAGAAAGCAGAATAGAATGATGACTTAAAAAAATGTATAAGTCACATTGTAATTCTATGATAATGACTTATATTTCTCATTAACTATTAAACCACAAATCCTTGCACTATTCACATTAAGGATCATCCTTACAGAATTACTCTGAATTTCTCTGCCACCTAATTATCTCTCATCTCTGTTAACTCTTCATCGTCACATTCCAACCTGATTGAAAATATATAAATCAACCTTTCATTTCAAATTCTTTTTTGTTTTTAAAGTGCCATTCATCTTGTTATTAAGGGCTAAATCCTTGTACCCGGCAAGTAATCCGATAGGATTATTTCCATGAATAACCTGAATAATATTTCAGACAACTATATGTCAGAGCATTTCATCTCAGAGACCCAAAGATTTTCACAGAAAGTGTGTCGTTTGTGTGTCACTGAAATTATAATACCTTTCTCCTTAATTCAGTCAGTCCTAATGACAACAAGCATGAAATACATAAGCTAAGTATTGGTTTAGAAATAGAAGTACAAAGATTTCCTGGAACTTAACATCTTTACATTTTCCTGTAGGTAGAGATATTGTGTGAGGTTTATTTCTTTTGCAAACTATATATAGCGCACAGCATAACCAGGGAATGATTAGAGAAGAGCCAGTTTCTGAACCTCTGAAGACAGAAGCTGACCTTGCACTGTATGAGAGAACCCCTGCTGTTGTACTTGCGAGTTCCACCTTTCACATCCAGTTCAAAACCCTGCATATTAAACTGGGCTATGAACCCAGGCACTGCCATTGGGTTCGTCTGTTTCCAGGCAAAGGAGCCAATACTGCACAAAAAAAGCAAGACGATTTTGTCACCTTGCTGCATTGCAGGGTGTTGTAAGCACCAGTCACTGCAAGGAGGGGACTGGGGAGACATCTATGGGCGGCTGGTCCTGCTGCTCCCTCTGCCATATGGCTCAGGGTCCTTCCATTTTTCTGTCATGAATGATGAAGCTGTTTTCACAATTTAATGATGCAACAAGGGATTTGGATAGGGGTTTTGGTTGATAAAAGGGGGCCTCAGATGTGTGACAAAAATTAATAATGTATCCAAGCCCTTATTATACTAGATTAGATGGCGGGAGGTCGGCTTTTACATATTAATGCTTCATGAAGGGCTTATAATAGGATTTAGTATGAAGGGCACATATACACATCCCCCTCCTCCCTTGTACACATATGAATGAAAATAACCTGTTTTATCACATTTCTAAAAAGACAAATAAAGCTGCTATACTATGGCTTCTGGTCACAGACTATTATGAGAGAGGATTAGTTTTATGCAATTCTCTCATAAAGCACGTTCAGCCTAAGACTGGCACTTGGGAATAAGTGTACCTCTCTAATGTCAAAGGTATCTTATTCTATCTGTTTTGCTGGGCAGCTGAGTTCATTAACCACTCTGATATTCATGGCATAGCCCCAGCTTTGTTAGCCCTGTGCCATTTTACGCAAACTGAGGGCCCGATTCAGAAGAAAGAAAAAAAAAAAAAACGCAATACTACATCCTGTCTATCATTCATGAAGCCATAAGCTGTCAGGGTGAGCATTTCAAATGAATGTGTCTACTGTATGAGGGTCAACAGAGTCAACAGAAAATTAGTCTATACTATAGAAAAGTCAGAGTGATGATATAATGTCACAGAATAGCTAAATATCGTCTCCTCGTAGGGGGTTCAATTCGTCCTAGTCCGTTTCAAATAAGAAAACAGAAGCAGGAAATATCCCAAGAAGGATAATCAGCATGATTACAAAGTGAAAAGACAGTAAGAGTAAACTAAACATTATCAGGATTATTTAGCTTACAAAAGACATGAATGAGTGACATGACAGGGACATGGTTAATAAACATGAGTATAAGTAATGTAAATATTCCAAATGAGTGGCTACTTACAGTTTGCAGTCAAGAAGGCAACTACTGAAGCAGCGGGAAACAGCTGGAAAAATGCAAACAATTGTCACAATATAATACAGAGGAAAAATGATCTTTTCAGAAGTCAGTAAGAGCACTGCTTACATTAGCATAAATTGAAAGAAAGTAAACCACCATTAAGGATGTTAAATATGGAGGTTCCAAGCAAACCTCAAGCAGTAACATTATAGGTGAAAATATTATGTTCTCTGGTGCTGTGAAGCACCTGTATTACACAAGGTGGATTTTTGGAACTGTTGGGATATAGGATGGCAGTGATCGTAGATGATTTTATTCTCGAGATACTAAATTCAGAAATAATTTGGGGACAAACCATAACAATTTCAGAATTTGACTCTGCTTGTTCAGATACAGCTAACAAGAGAAGGGTTACATCTGAAATTGGGACTTATTTTTGTATTCCCTCCTCCATTAATCTAAATCCTTTGATCTCATGTTTCTGATGAAATCTGAAAACTTGCCATCTGTAGAAAAGTTGCCACACAGTTTAGATACAATTACACCAGATGAATTCAGAGCAAGCTTATAAAGAAAGCTTATTTATCGAGGTAATATCATCCAGATATGTCAATATTGTCAAAAAACTTTGCTCCCAGTTTTCTCCCAGGTCTTGAGCCTCCAGAATCCTTACTGCATGTATGATACCTGAAAACCAGGGTCCTGTTCACTGGGGAATATCTAATCCCCTCTGAAACAAAATCCATGTACGTTTCTGGCAGAGTTAACTCCAGACACTTATTACAACAGACATCCTTAATCACCTCTACCTGCTTTGGTACTCCACCCCAATACACTACATACACTGGATTTCATGCTACAAAATGCTGTTTAGGCTGTCTGCATAAAAATGTTAACGTCACCATCACTTTGTTCTGAAGGAATCCACATTTAACCTGAGCAGTAGGGATGCAGATATCCATAACATGTAGTCTGTATGTCACAAAACACTTCACAAAGCAGTACAGATAAAGCCTCTGAGTCCAGCACATAGCAATTATCATCCCAGCCAGATCCACAAAATATTTTAAAGCTGATTTATTTTATAGGTGTATTATATATCTCTAAATCAACAGAGACAGTTATGAATCACAGCCTAAGACCTGGAACTCGGTTAGGTAATTTGAATGAGATGGTCTTGATTTGAAACACGATCTAGCAGATTACATATTTAAAGAGCAAGCCAACCCAAAGCTAATGAGCTAGAAGGAATGAGTCTGAGTTTTGTCCAGACATCTATGGATATAATGAGCTGTAAAATGAAACCACAGGTTTGAGAGATTCCCCAGTAGAATTCAAACAGGAGAGAGAGAGGGTTAGTAGGGTGATCAAATGAATGAAGAATAAGGAAGATGAGATGGAGAAGGCCCAGCTTGCCTAGTGATGCAAAAGAAAGAAGACAGGATTTCTGCTGGGGTAAAATGCAAATATTAAAACTGCTAAAATAGACAGCATGGGTGCAATATATCTATTGGATGTAGGAAGTCACAAGCTGGAAAGGCTTCCAAAATAAGTAGGGCAAATGCTAATTACTTCTGAGATGGAACGAGGTCTGCTTATGAAAGGGTGATGTAATGCACTTGCTGGTAAAAGCAATGATCAGAATTTAATGACCCAGGAGTCTTTTACATTCAGCATCAATTGCTGTGATGCTGTCATCTAACAAGCCCAAAGTTCTTCAAAAAACACACACTGTATCAAAAATAAGTCTGTGAATGGAAGGCACAGCCTGAGAACTGTTTGACCTGTATAAGTCAGTGGCATTAATGGGGCTCAGAGAAGGCAGAAGGTGAAAGGGATCTTGTTACTGGTACACTTTGACTTCTGCATGGCATTTCGCTCTGGTGCTTGGACCAGTCCTAATAAGGTCTATTCTACTAAAAGGCTTGGGAATATTTTGGTATTTAGTTGTCTTCAAACCTGGCAGATCAAAGTATTAGAAGACCCTAGTACAGGTGGAGAGACACTTTGTAGGAAGGGAAGTGTTAATCAGCAGCTAAAATCCTGAAATTTCTATATATTCAGTCACTGTACAGCTGAAAGAAAAAAATGAAGTTAAATAAAATGGTCACAATTTGGCATTGCTGGCAACATCTGCAGAAGAAAGGATTCTGAAAAGACTCTGCATGCCTACAGGCATTCAAGCTAGCTTCTGTCCTGTTTCTGCTTAGACATTATGCTTTACTCAAAAAAAATTAAGCATTTAATCCAGCATTCAGTTTTGCAGTTCTTCTCAGACAAGAAATTCTTTGGGTTGTAGAAAAAAAAAAAAGCATAATTGATTCTATGTTGTGTTGCTGATCTTTTGCAGGAGAAGGTATGTCAAAGATAAATGATAGTCAGTGGAGTCAGAACAGAAGATAACAAATTTTAGCAATCTTGAGCTGATAGAATAATCCACAAAGTCACTCTGCATGACACTGCCTAAAGCTGCTCCTGCTTTGGGACTCTCCCAAACAATCATGGTTCAAGGAAGAACATCTAAGGCTAGCAAAGATCTAGTTTATTTTTACATATGTTTCATAAAATAAGTCTTTGCTCTTTAACATATGTTATGCATTTTCTGTAAGGAAGAGAAATGTCAATAACATGCCAGCTGTTTCTCCTGCTTGACAACTTGAATCCAAATATTTTTATTTATTTATTTATTTATTTTTATAATTTTCATCTTCAGACTAGGTCGGGAAAGCTTTGCAAGGAAAATTCATGTTTTCACTCCTCTTTAATTTGTACCCTTACTTAACAAAAGAATCTCATGTAAGACTAGAAAAAATGTTTTACGTTTGTTTATGGCAAAATATTCCCTGTTCATTATTCCCTGTATGAAGAGCTTCCTATAAGCAAGACTTGTACTCAGTTACAATTAGCTTAGATGATGTAGGACTGTGAGAAAAAATGTGGAAAAGCATTTGCATCAGTGAAGAGTCACTAAATATTTGTGTTCAAACTAGCTTGTGCACAAGGATGGCACCATCCTGTGAATACCTGTGCAGAAAACCATTCACAAGGTGGCAAAAGCAATCGATTGAATAGTTAAAAAAAGTTTAGACAGTTCATTAAAAGAGAGAAGATAGTATTTTATATAAAATGTACAATGCAAATACATTAGCCAATGAAAATAAAGGTGTTATAATGTGATCAGTATTACTGTAAAACTGTCAAGTACGGAGGTTGGATGTCCCAGAAATTACTATGGGCTACATTTTCCATAGGTTCCTGTTTACTGTCAGAGTAATAATCCCAGTAGTATTATGATTTAATTTGCTCTAACAGTGTGGAATGCTGTGCTTTTTCCTCATGATTCCCATGGAAACTATGACAAAACAAAATTATGAAGCTTTCTTATTCCACAGATAGGTCTTCAATGTTAGGAAGCTTTTTGGAGGTGAAAAATATTCGGTTACAGTCCTGAATGAATTTCCTGCTGAAGTAACTTAAAACTTGTTTAGGTTATCATGAAAAGTGATGTGAAACCTTTTATGCCTTTATAGCTCTCAATGTAATTCCATTAAAATATACATTCCAAGTTGTTTTGTAGTTGTCAGTGAACATTTACTGTTTTTAAATTATTTTGGATTTTAATGAAGTGGCATTCATAGTTCATTAATACGGTATATACATGTATTTAAGCATCTTAAACCTCAAACATTTTCTCTTTGAAATAAATAGCTAAAATTGCCATTTTCAATATACATGTTACTTTTTTAAGGACAGACTTCAGTTAAGGTAATTCATATGCTGTTGATTTGACATATAACTTAATTTCTGTAACAGTTTCTTTTTAATAAAAATGGACCGCAATTATCTGTAAAGAGGCACATAATTGTAGATGTTGTCAATGACATTAAGGAATGGCATCAATAAAAATGTGCTGGATTCTGAAAACTGGAGAATTGAGTCCTACCATGCACATATGAAAGGAGGTTTAGCTTTATGCAGTCATTTTAGTAATTTTCATTCCCAGTCCTTGGGGTAAGGGGATGCTTCCAACCAGGACTCCTTATTTTCAGATATCATATGTGCAACCCAATATGTCACCCATCTGGCATTCAGCATTTGGCACGCATCTGTATTCCCACTGTTCTCAGTTCACTTTTGAGCTGGCACTTTTTCCAACAAAGTAACAAAATCTATAATGCAGCTCCAAGCAGAACGCTCATGTAATACGAATTGCCTGGAAAAGGTAGATGGGAATAGTGGGGATGCATAGATATGTAGAAATTAGAAATCCAGAGATGAAAATAAATACATTTCTTTTCTCTTTAGTTGGTCCCAAAAGATAAAAATGAGCCAACTAGCTTGAAACCCCAAAAGATTAAATCTTCCTGCAACTTCATTCCATTCTAAGCATTTTCCCTGACATGTCAGAGTCATTTCCTTCCTCTGTTCCCATCCCAAAAGTCTCTTAGTCAAATATGATTTTGCTATTATTACTACTTGTATTACAGGAGGACTAAGGCACAGCTCATGACCTTCATATAATGTCAATGTCAGTAAAGCACTGAGGATCAATGTTAGATTTTGTCTTCTGGGACTGAGTCTACTGAGTCTAGAAATAGAAATAGATAAGCAAAGCATAATTCTTTGTTTCAGGGCTACTGGTCACTTCTGAGGTTTAGGATTTACCTTTTTTTTTTTTTTTTTTTTTCCTCCTTGACAAGCTATTACTGCTGTTATTCATTCATCTTCTTCTGTATATGGTTATTTTCTATATATGGGTACACTGGTTGCTGTTTTGGGGTCAGAAAGGAATTTTCCCCCACATCTAGGGAGTGCTGAAGGTATATCGTAGCACTTAAATTCCCCCTAATGCCAAGACTGAGAATGATGGCATTGTCATTAGCCTCTCCTGTTCTGTCTGTGGCATACTGTACTTTTCCCAGAGTCTACCTTCAGTCTGCTAAAGCTCTTCAATGTGTACCATGGAATTAAGATATGTTTTGTGGGGTTTGGAATGCACCTACCATGAAATAAATGTTCAGTTAATGTCGTAGCCAAATTGGGCAA